CCATTTCCTTCTCCAGGGGATCTTCCCAACCCAGGGATCAAACCCGGGTCTCCTGCATTGGAGGCAGACACTTTAACCTCTGAGTCACCAGAGAAGCCCCTATCATCCTCCCCAAACACTCAACTCTCTGTTGATCTGATGAGAAGAGCAACGACTAAAGACAGTGCACCCTCTAAGGCTACATAAACAGGAAGAAGAATAGTGGAATTCAAATTCCCTGACCTAGACTGTTAATCATTTGGTTCTCTTCCTCTCTAAGATCCAAATCCTTGTTCTTATAATAATAGCTTATTGAAGCTATTGGAAAAATAAGGGTACATTAAAGAATATACTTTTTATGTTGGATTCAAGAGTGTCCTCCCCAAATTCATTTCAGTCTGGAACCCGAGAAAGTGATCTTTTTTGGAAATGGAGTCTTTGTAGATGTAATAAAAGATGAGGTCATAGTAGGGTAGTGTGTGCATGCTAAGTTGCTTCAATCATGTCTGATTCTTTGTGACATTATGGACTATAGCCCGGCAAACTTCTCTGTCCATGGGAATTTTCCAGACAAGAATACTGGGGTGGGTTGCCATGGCCTCTCTCTTGCTGATCTTGCTCACAGTGCCAATTGTCTCGCTGTATCTCACTGTGCACACTGTTCGCTGAACCCATGGTAGGCCAAGATGCAAGTTAAGAGGCTGGAAGAAAATGTGAGGAGCTGTAGGAACTGCAGATGCATTTATTCTCTCCTGACTGGTGCAGCAGCCATAGCAGCAGACATAACATAACCATAGCATAGCCATAACAGCCAAAACCTAACCTCATATAACATAACCATGATGTTGCTCCAATGTAGCCTGGGCTTTCATGGTGAAGCTCATACAGGCCTACCACACAAAGTAGCCCATGACCGAATGAGTACCTCCTGATATGCCTGCACGGTGCTGTAAGTGATCTCAGCTATTCCATAACCGTGCAAAGTCATTTTCTACAGAACATGGGGCAAGAGGGTGTGAGAGCATGGGGCTAGAGAGCCTGAGTGGTGCCATCTTGTTATCTTTCCCACGTCCTCCTCCAGGGGACCTTCTCAACCGTAGTGGGGTGGACTGAGCCCTCAATCCAAAATGACTGGTGTCCTTATGAGAAAAGGAGAAACATGGGGACACATAAGGACAAACAGGGGGAATGCCGCATGACAGCAGATGTGGAGTCTGGAGTTAGGCAGCTACAAGCACAAGATACCCAAGATCGCCAGCAACCACCGGAAGTTAAGAGAGAGGCAAGGTTCTCCCTGAGCCTCTAAGAAAAACTCAACCCTGCTAACACTTGATTTTAGCTTTCTGGCCCCTGGATTGATGAGATAATGCAGTACTTGTTGTTTTAAACTAGCAGTTTGTGGTACTTTGTTACAGCAGCTCTAGGAAATCAATATATTTTATATATTCATATTTTCTATACATAAATATATTCTGTATATAATTCTATATAAACATACTTATTTTGTATGGTGGTATGCTCTATATGTCAGGTAATTCACAAATATTGATGAAACTCATCATATTATCATGTTTAGAGATGACAATATGATGAGTTTCATCTCCATTTTACAGATGAGAGAAGAAACTCAGAGAAGTGACTTGCTGAAATTAAATAGTTGATGGCAAAGGCAAGGTGAGGCCTGTGTTCACCCAGCTCATGCTTTTTCCTCCTGTTTTCAGTCCTGTACCCGCTTGTCTTGTGGTTCTGCCCCATCTGTCTCAGCTTCGTCTCCACTCACACGTCCCTTTTTGCTCCTGTAGCTCTCTCCCTATGGTAGTGTACTCTCCAGCTTGCAGCCTCTCTCCTGGGCTGCTTCTCATTCAGGATCATTTGATCAGACACTTTAAAACAGGGTCTGCCTGGCTGTCCTACTCTATGCCCCCTGGGTCCTCAGTACAGGGCTCACTTTCTCCGGAATCCTGAAACCAAGGTGTTTTGTATAAAATAACATTAAACTCTCAAATAGGCTTTATCTGTAAACACTTCTAACTATCCAGATTAGGCTACTCTCAGTGGAAACACTGTCAGACTTTATTTTTTGGGCTCCAAAATCACTGCAGATGGTGATTGCAGCCATGAAATTAAAAGACGCTTACTCCCTGGAAGGAAAGTTATGACCAACCTAGATAGCATATTAGAAAGCAGAGACATTACTTTGCCAACAAAGGTCCGTCTGGTCAAGGCTATGGTTTTTCCAGTGGTCATGTATGGATGGGAGAGTTGGACTGTGAAGAAAGGTGAGTGCAGAAGATTTGATGCTTTTGAACTGTGGTGTTGGAGAAGACTCTTGAGAGTCCCTGGGACTGCAAGGAGATCCAACCAGTCCATCCTAAAGGAGATCAGTCCTGGGTGTTCATTGTAAGGACTGGTGCTGAAGCTGAAACTCCAATACTTTGGCCACCTGATGTGGAAAGTTGACTCATTGGAAAAGACCCTGATGCT